AGTGAAGATGCTGAAACATTGGAAAATAATACTGATTTACCCTTGTCTGAGTTGTATGACTCTGAAGGTAAGTTGATTCTTCCTCTTGATTTATGTAGACCTATTATGAAAACTGTTATTTATCTGTATAAAAACAATGAAATCCTATGATCCTTTGTGGTAGTAATGCAATATTTTATACTAGGGACTGCTCAAGTTGCCACTGACTGGTAACAAATTAAATTTGCCCACACACCCCAGTTTATAAAAATTCATTAAGTCTCATTCTGTCAAACCAATGGCACATTAAATGAGACATGCCATACAGAGTTGTTTGAAGATTGTAAATTACAAATTAATTTAAAAGTCTTGACTCTTATAAACAAACATAACTATGTGGGAATTACATTTGTTTAGTTTCTGATACTCTTCTTGTGATAATCCTTTCAGAAGTTAGGCAATAATGGAAGAATTTTTATAAGAATTATTTATTCATCATAAACAATGGTACAGTTTGGGAGGTCTGGGGATATTCCCCCCCCCCCCAAACAGTTCACATTCTTTTGTCTTACCAAATTTAAAAATAGAAAATAGAATAATGTTTATGGTTATGTGTGTAATGCATGACTGATCAAGTTTTCTGTAATGACACTAGAGGGCACAATAATCTGTTACAAGTGCTGCAACAATTAGGCAGCTATTAGAAGTAGGTATACACCTAAATGAGAGAAATGTAGAAAGGCATAAAGGAGAGGAAGCGATAGAGTAAGGGATGAAGATGCAGAAGATATCTTTCCCCTTTACCTTTGGATTTTAACAGATCCCTTCCACTGACATTAAAATTTACAAATCAAGAAATATGACGTAGATGAGGTATGTAACATATGTGAAAGTTGAGAAATCCACACAAAATATATAAAAGACTACTTTGGTGATCTAGGCATAGATGAAAAGATAATATTAAAATTAAACATGATGATAAATCTTAAAATCCCTTAAAAGGTGAGGAATACCCTTCTTCATTATGGTTATACCCAATTTAATCACTGTTCGTTGTTACAGAAACAGTTGCTGGGATAAAGGTGAATGCGCAGAACAGTAATAACATGTTGTATGTAAATGCTTTGCATGAGTAAGTACAATCAGCTTAAAAAACATGGCTTAAGGTACTAGTTTCAAATATCAGTTCTATTCGTTCAACAAATTATTGGAAAGTAAGAATTATAAATTTGCAAAAAAAAATATAATAATAATAAGAGAAAGAGACCAATGTGTCGTAGGATTTGAGGTTTGCACGGCGTTTTTGCATCAGGATGAAGAAAGAAATTTAATGAGCACATGGCACATAATTAGTTAAAATTGTAAGATCGCTGTCTTCTGGGTTATTGCGCCATGTAGTCTGGTAGAAGTTTACTAATGTTTCAGAGGTCATTCCTGCCACCATCATCAGGGCAATGATGGAGGCAGCAGCAAATTAAGATTACTTGATGTTGAACATAACATGGACCCTAATATAACCACTTTATGTGGATTGTTTCCCTGTGACCATGTGACCAGCTGAAATCTGTAAGGCAGCATACAGAGTACAAAATGTCATCAACTCATAATCATGTAGTCAAAAGATAAACACTCCTTTGTTCTGGAAGGTCAATGATGAGCCTTATTTTACTCTGTAGGCTATTGACAGTTGAATTTGCACTGTTTTGCTGCTTGTTACGTTGCTCAATATACTGAGTAGGAAAAATATGAGATACAAATACCACTCATACTATGAACACTGACATTAATCATATTTTACAGTTCCCTTATACATGTGAATGTCCCTCCCTTTGTCTGTGTTTCTGTCTTTGTTGTGAACTTGTATTATCATGGTGCCAGGAATGCAATTTAAATCTACAAGCTCCTGAACAAAGTTCACTTGACCACTTTATCACATTAAAAATATGTTATGTTTGTCTCTGATCTCTGTTAACCTAAACTGATGTGTCGTCATTCATATTTCTGGAGTCTGTGTATAATGTTCACATTTTTCATTATTTCAGTATTGTCACCATTATACCAAAAAAGTATTCTGTTCCATGGTTTTTGTGGGATTTCCTCTTTCATCGTTCCCAGAAACGTTATAAAGAATGCATTGATATTGTTCACCAGTTCAGTGAAAATGTAAGTAATTTCATTTTAAGAGTAACCATTAGATTACAAAACTTGCACGATATACAAGGCACATGTTTTCATTTAACCCAAAAGTGACAACTGTTTAAAATGTTTGTGATCAGTAACTTAAGTCAGCCCATCCAACGTAAAATGAGATTGAGGTTTTAATGGTGGGAAATATCTGAATTGTTATCTTCTGGACCATGTAGCCTTACAGATGTTTAACAATGTTATGGTTCATTAACTTCTAGATGATGCAGGTGGAATACAATCTACATTCATTTATTCCTGGAACATCTGAAGTATGAGCTGTGACTGTAATTTATGAAGAATTAATTCACATAATCAAGTCATGATGCTTTTTCCAGATTATTCGAGATAGGCTGAGTGAAGATGCTGAAACATTGGAAAATAATACTGATTTACCCTTTTCTGAGTTGCATGACTCTGAAGGTAAGTTGATTCTTCCTCTTGATTTATGTAGACCTATTATGAAAACTGTTATTTATCTGTATAAAAACAATGAAATCCTATGATCCTTTGTGGTAGTAATGCAATATTTTATACTAGGGACTGCTCAAGTTGCCACTGACTGGTAACAAATTAAATTCGCCCACACACCCCAGTTTATAAAAATTCATTAAGTCTCATTCTGTCAAACCAATGGCACATTAAATGAGACATGCCATACAGAGTTGTTTGAAGATTGTAATTTACGAATTAATTTAAAAGTCTTGACTCTTATAAACAAACATAACTATGTGGGAATTACATCTGTTTAGTTCCTGATACTGTCTTGTGATAATCCTTTCAGAAGTTAGGCAATAATGGAAGAATTTACATTTCTCCCAATATATTTTCACGTGCGTTGTTTTAAAATAACACAAGTTATTTCTGAGGAATTCAAATTGCTGAAATACAGTACAACACAACAGGCTTAAATTTAATCTTGTAAGATTTTGTTTCAGTGCGTAGGAAGAACATGGACTCATTGGGATTACTCATGAAGAAATTAAGAAAAGATGATTTACAAAATAATGTGGATGCCTTAGTGTTTGCGGTAATGTACAAGATTATGCACACATATCTGTCTGCCTAATGTATAATACTATCTCATATAAAATGCCCTTCCATCTGCCAATGTTTGAAGCATAGAATTTGACGACACATAGGAACAAATGT